CTTCTTTAGAAAATCTTAGAATATAATATAGTCGTGCTATTTTAAATCAAAAACTAACAAAGTTAAAGTTGAGTGGCGCTAGGAGGGGTCGAACCCGGGTCGTGCGACAAGCGAGGGCGTGAGGGACAAGCGCGTACCCGACTGCGCCACGGCCACAAAGTGAAGGCGAGGCAGAAAAACCTGCTGTTAGGTGGGTTTTTGATCTGGTATGTTTATCAGAGCACAAAGTACAAATCCTTAGCCAGGCCGTGTGCCAGAAGGTCTACGTTTATAGAAGCACAAAGTACAGATCGTTAACCAGCAAGACCGTCTGCCAGAAGGTCTACGTTTATAGCAGCACAAAGTACAGATCGATAGAAAGACCGTGTATCAGAAGGTCTCCGTTTATAGAAGCACAAAGTACAAATCCTTCGCCAGACTGTGGGCCAGAAGGTTTACGTTTATAAAAGCACAAAGTACAGATCAGTAGCCAGACCGTGTGCCAGAAGGTCTACGTTTATAAAAGCACAAAGTACAGATCAATAGCAAGACCGTGCGCCAGAAGGTTTACGTTTATAGAAGCACAAAGAACGGGCCTTATTTCTGAAAGCGTTGAGTACGCCAGAACGGGTGCGTTTGCAAAGCTAAAAAGTTCGAGGTCAATTTCAAGGTTAATTCATAAATTTTCACTTTCAATCAATAATTTTTTCAATTTACAAAACGAAAACCAAGAATGCTTTCTTTTTCTTTACAAAATCAATCAATGACTCAAAAAAACTGAATCAATCCCCAAAGAAATTCATCCTTTCAAAAGAAATCGTTAGACATCGTTAGAAGAAAAAGGAAAGAAAGTGTTGAATGGACGGCCTTTTCATCGATCCTCTTTCACTCAACCACCACAACAATTACAACAATCAGTCCTTTCTTTTCCCCGTGTGTGTATGCATGGGTTCTACCCAACCCATTGAAGAAGAAAGAAAGAAAGGAAGAAAGGAAGAAAAGAGGAAAGAAAGGAAGAAAGAAAGAAAGAAAGAAAGAACATCCCCATCCCATTTCTTTCCATTCAGAGACCATTCGAATCCGCCTTTTTTGTCGATTCACTTGGCAGTCTCGTCTACGAGTTTTAGATCATTTTTGAGAAATTTATTCTAAATTTGTTCTAAATTTCTAGTTTCTATAGATCTATAGATATCTTGTAGTTCTTGATCTTTAGTAGGACTTTATTCATCTTCATCTTCATCTTCATCTTCATCTTGTGACTTCTTCAGCTCTCTTCTACCCACTTCATTTTGTTCTCATCTTTGATTTGACTAAAAAATTGTCTTTTACAAGTTCATTTATGCAAATATCGTTAAAGATTGCAAATTCGAGCCTCTACGGGCCCAAAAGATTGCAAATTCGAGCCTCTGCGGGCCCAAATTTAGGCTTCTTTGCATGGAAAAGTACCAAAAGTATCGATTCCTGTAAGATCTTATTAAAAAAAATTCAAAATCATAGATTTTATCGTTCCAGCAATTCCAGAGATACTAAATTAAGCTTTTATTTTATTAAAATTAACATTAATCCTTAAACTTTCAATAAATATCCACTTTTTTTTGATCTTTTTGATCATTAACTTTTTGAATTCAATGCCAGTTTATCGGCTTTTCATTTTCATCTCTCATAACTCAATGATAGCAATTTTACATCACTTTTAAACTCTTCCTTTCGTCTTACAGCAACTCTTCGTACTACTTACTTATATCTCTACTTTATTTTCGTAAAAATTCTTTTAAAACAATAAGATCTTAAGGAAAAACTGGAGATGAAACAATCAGAATTGGGTCGGCTAAGAGCTGACAAACAGTCGCCCAATTTCGACTCATCTACTCATCTATTGGGTTGATAACTATGATTAACTATGATTATTTGAAAATTATTGAAAATTATTGAAATCTTAAAGTCTTTCTATCAAAAAAAAAATGATCTCAACGACAAGATAGCTCTCAAAAATCTCAATAAATGAGTAGGCTGCCGAGCGATTGTCGGCTCTCAACTTTGGAAAGTCATATAAAAAAGTTGAAACTTTGAATCGATTAGATAATCAGTACCGTTTTCGGGAATATACTTAAGCTTTAGATCCAGAAAAATCAAGACAATTGGGCTTAGGCTTAGGCTTAGGCTTAGGCTTAGGCTTAGGCTTAGGCCTAGGCTTAGGCTTAGGCTTAGGCTTGGGCTTGGGCTTAGGCTTAGGCTTAGGCTTGGGCTTAGGCTTAGGCTTAGGCTTAGGCTTAGGCTTAGGCTTAGTTATTTCATTCTATTTCTACTCATCATCTAGTCTTTCTATTCGATTCATTATCTCCTTTTTCATTCACTTTTCTACTTCATTTTCTTCTTCTTCTTTTCATTTCTTTACATTTCTTTTCATTTCTTTCATTTCTTTTCATTTCTTTCCCCCTTTTTCCCTCCTCATCGATTCGTGTGCTTCTTTTTCAAAAATTCAACAATATTTCTTTCAAAAATCGTTCCAATAGACTCAGATGTTTATTCAAAAAAAGTAAAAGTTAACAATAAAATCGACAGCTAAACGAATCAAGCCTTGATTTTCGAAAAATTTCATTAATTTACTTTAATGTTCAATATTTTTACCTAAAAATTCAGCTAGTTAACTGATTTTTTTTCACTATTTACTTCCTAATCCTAAAAAAATGCTTAAAATAACTCTGAACTTTTTAAAAGCCGATTTAAATAGTCAAAAACTATAGCCAAAATAGCCAAAATCGAAATCAAAGTCAAAATTGATGGTGAAACTTTGGCAAAAGAAAATTTTCGGAATTTAAACTCAAAACCGAACGAATTATATACGAAAATCTTCGAAATTCAAATAATTTTCAACGGAATTCTCGAGAATTACTAGAATTCCTTGCAGAGATTTCAGAAATAATCGAAAGGATTTTCCAGCACTGACACAAAGCCCAGGACTGACACAAATTCCAGCACTGACTCAAATCTCAAAGCTAAAGGCACTTTAGAGTCAGCCACGTGCCCCCTTCCATCCCATTGTTCTCCCCAACAATTCCCCATTCATTTTCAAAACAATTCCCTCTCAATTGTCCCTCAATTGTCCTTCAATTGTCCCTCAATTGATCGTCAAATATTTGAAATTGTCTTCATCGGCGTTTCCCTCCTTTGATTTGATTGTCATATCCATGCCCTCGTCTTTGCTGATTCAATTACCGCTCACACACTCGCGAAAAACCGAAAGAGGCGAGTTTTCTAGCCCCAGGCTTTTTTCCCAGCTCTGTATCGGGGCAATGTTGGGGTAACAAGCAAGGCAAAAATTTGTTAGATAACGCCGACGGGCACACCTGGCCTATCCCTATGAAATGCGCGCTCATCACCGAGATTTCACACTTTCCCATATTTTCGTTGCCACCTCGTAGATTTGAATCTGAGATTTACAAAGGGGAATGGTGAGCTGAGATTAGAGAAATCTGATTCAGAGAAATCTGATAAAGATCTAATATCAGGGAAATCTGATAAACTAGAATAAACATTGATAAGAATTATGATAAGAACATTAAAGAGAAAAGAAGAATAAAAAATCAATGGCAAAAGCTTGAAGAGGAATTGAACCCTTGACCTTCTGCTTACCAAGCTGACGCTTTACCACTGAGCTATCAGCGCCTTTTTGTTCCGAGAAGAAATAGAAAAGACAAAGAGAAAAAACATCAGGTTTCCGAAAAGCCCGCTTAACAGCAGGTCTTTCTGCCTAGCCCTCAAGGTGCCAGTGTGGCGCAGTCGGTAGCACGACCCTCTACAACCCACACAAGCCGGGTTCGAGCCGTGTGTCAGCGTTCAATTTTGATTTTTTGAATTTTAATATGGTTTTCATCTAGAAATGAATAATTGAACACATTGAACACCTAAAAATCAATCATTGAAAAGCTTTTGCCATATTAAAAGGTCAAAAACGTCAACCAGTTCGCCCTCATCAACCAGAAAGGCTGTCAGCTAGTTTACGAAACTTGAAACCTATAGAATACTTTGAAATCTTGATTCTAGTGTTATTATAAGTGCTAAATCAATTCAAAGTCTATTTCTGAAAGCAAGAATGATATAGAAAACTTAAATTAATCCAGTTAAAGTTGTTAAAGTTGTTAAAGTTGCAAAAGTTGTTAAAGTTGTTAAAGTTCTTAAAGTTCTTCAAGCTCTTCAAGCTCTTCAAGTTCTTCAAGTTGTTAAAGTTCTTCAAGTTCTTCTTTTAACCCGAAATCAACACTTTTCTAGTGAAATTGAGGTTAAAAACACCCTAGATTATATATTTTAAAAGCTTTTAAAAGCTTTTAACGATCTTTTAAAAGATTTGACGATCTTTTAAAAGCTTTTAACAATCTTTTAACCATCTTTAGCCATCTTTAACCATCTTTTAACCATCTTTAACCATCTTTTAACCATCTTTAACCATCTTTAACCATCTTTAACCATCTTTTAACCATCTTTAACCATCTTTAGCCATCTTTAGCCATCTTTAACCATCTTTTAACCATCTTTTAACCATCTTTAACCATTCTTTTAAAACTATTTTATCCTTTTCTTCATTCATAGATCAAAATTTGACTCCTTTAATGAATTGATTTGATCTTTTCACTTTATTGAATCGAGTTCAATGAAAAACTTTCTTCTTTCAACATCTATCTTCTTTCAAATCTCAATTGCACTTTTCAACTTCAAACAAAACAAAATAAAACTTACAATTTTTGTAGGCGATGGTGATGAAGATGAAGAGAAAAAGACGGCGAAGAGAAGGCTCTTCTTGGATTGGCCAGGATTGGCTACGAGCGGCGCTCCTCCCCCTTTCAGCCACTCCTCCCATTTCACCCCGCCCGGTCCCTCCCCCCACCGATGAGCGCTATTGTGTTTGGGAGACTCTTCTCTTTTTTTTCCCTTCCTCAAGTCCTTCTTTTCATCTCCCACCTATTGGACTTTGATTTGAATACTCTGAATACGTTGAATACTCTGAATACGTTGAATACATCACAATGATGATGGACCCAGAACACCATATGAAGCTGGAAAGCTATCAGCAGCTCTATATGAGCAATTTCTTGCCACCTACAGCTACATCGAGTATTCCGGTGCACGATGATCTGATTGGAGGACCGGATTCACCGGATTCTGGTTGGTTTTTTTGATTTTTGAATTTTTAAGGGCTTAGCTTAGAGCAGCTTAGATTGAGAAAGAGTTTTTTGGAGATTAAGTGAATCGTTTAAGACTTTAGATATTAGATAACTGTTTGGTAATAGAGATTAGATCAATTTTTAGATGTTAGATCGATTTCTGGATCTTAAATCAATGTTAGATCAATGTTAGATCAATTTTTAGATGTTAAATCAATGTTAAATCAATGTTAGATCAATGTTAGATCAATTTTTAGATATTAGATCAATGTTTAGATCAAATAGATCGATTTTCTAGAGATTCTAGAGATTCAGGCGTAAAGTGGATAACTTTATAAGCCTTTACAGTTGAACAAGTCCATTATCTAGAATAGTTTTTGCTTTTAGAGGCCAACTATCAAAAGAAATTGACTCAGGGCCGTAATAGAATAGAATAGAATAGAATAGAATAGAATAGGATTTAATAGAATAGAATAGAGTTTAATAGAATAGAATAGAATAGAATAGAATTTACTAGAATTTTAGAATGAATACGTATTCAAATTTACTATTAAGCTTAGAATTAGATGGCTTTCAGCTTTCCAGCTTTCCAGAAAAGCTTTCCAGCTGACAATTGTATTGCTTTAACAACTTTTTGGTAAAGTTTTTGAACCAGTCTATAAGCATCGCTTATTTCTACCTTACCAAATATTCAATATCAATCATTCTTGTTATCAATTAGATCAAATCCTATGATCTTTGCAAAATCATCATCGAAATTTTGTATAGGTTTAGGCGGTAAAGACGGGAAAAAAGATCAAGATCGAGTGAAACGCCCAATGAACGCTTTTATGGTATGGAGTCGAGGACAACGCCGCAAAATGGCACAAGAGAATCCAAAGGTGGGTATTAAGATATCAAGGCTAAGATGTTAAGGCTAAGATGTTAAGGCTAAGATGTTAAGGCTAAGAGCTTAAAGCTAAGATAAGGCTAAGATGTTAAAGCTAGGATCTTAAGGCTAAGATATCAAGGCTAAGATGTTAAGGCTAAGATGTTAAAGCTAGGATCTTAAGGCTAAGAGCTTAAAGCTAAGATAAGGCTAAGATGTTAAAAGCTAGGACCTTAAGGCTAAGATATTAAGGATAAGATGTTAAGGCTAAGATATTAAGGCTAAGATATCAAGGCTAAGATATCAAGGATAAGATATTAAGGCTAAAATGTTAAAGCTAAGATGTTAAGGCTAAGCTCTTAAAGCTAAGATAAGGCTAAGATGTAAAGGTATTAAGGCTAAGATCTAAAGGTTAAGATCCAAGGCTAAGATCTAAAGGCTAAGATCTAAAGGTTAAGATCTAAAGGCAAAGATATTCAGCAAATTCGGCAATTCAGCAAAACCTTTCCCAATCTCTGTCACTTTTTTCTTGAACCAGAAAAAAAACTCAGAAAACCATTGGGAAAAGATTCACACGTTTTTCTACTTCTTTTAGAGATATTTTCTAGCTAAATTTGTTACAAAATTCTATATGAAAAACGGAATTTGAGGTATTCACTCTTGAGAATTGCTTAGTTTAGAAGCTTAGCTTTGTTTAGCTTTGTTTAGCTTTGTTTAGCTTTGTTTAGCTTTAGTTTAGCTTTAGTTTAGCTTTAGTTTTATTGTTTAGTTGCTAATTGTTTAGTTGATTTCATATAGAAGCTTGCTTTAAGCACTCTAAAGCAAGTTCTATCTAATTCTATCTATAAAACTCGTTCAACAGAATGTTTTACATTTAAAATTAGCATTTCTTTCGCTATTTGTTTAGTTGATTTCATATAAAAGCTTGCTTTAAGCACTCTAAAGCAAATTCTAACTAATTCTATCTATAAAACTCGTTCAATAGAATGTTTTACATTCAAAAATTAGTATAGAACTTTTAAAAATACTATCTAGTTCTATTCAATCGATCGTTTTTATTGAAATATTCGAGAATTTACAAATTGTTAACGGTTAAAATTGAAAGATTTCTGCATTTTCTACATTTTTCAAGATTTGCAAGACTTGAGCAACTTTCCCACTGCCTAATATTTAGATTTCTTTTGCAAAAAGCAACATTTCTCAGCGTCAGCAACAAGCTCATTTCTTTTTCTTCCATCTCATCCCCATCATGTCCATTTGAGCATTTGATCGACCTCTGTAATTGTGGCTTCCATCTACCTTGAGAGCCACCGCCTATCCACCCAATTCCCCTTACCCTTTTTCGTCTCAAAATTCTCTCCAACTTCTCCGATTACAACCACGAATTACCGGTCACTCCTTGTCGGCTCTCTTTCTCAACAACTAGATCTAAAAGATCTTTTAGACCTTTTAGATGTAGAGGCTAGTTTCAGCCTCTTCTCTTTCCTTACACTTACCCTGAAACTCTTACCCTTAAAAGCATTCACTTTGAGAAAGGTTGGTAATAAGGATTTTGAGCTTAAGTTGAGCTTAAGTTGAGTTTGAGTTGAGCTTGGGTTAAGCTTGAGTTGAGCTTGATCAAAGCTTGAGTTGAGCTTGATCAAAGCTTGAGTTGAGTTTGATTTAAGCTTGAGTTGAGCTTGAGTTGAGTTTGATTTGAGTTTGATTTAAGCTTGGGTTAAGCTTGAGTTGAGCTTGATCAAAGCTTGGTTTAAGCTTGAGTTGAGCTTGATCTAAGCTTGAGTTGAGCTTGATTTGAGCTTGATTTGAGCTTGATTTAACCTTGATTTAAGCTTGATTTAAGCTTAAACTTCCCCACTGCCTAATATTGTAGCTATGAAGCTATAAAGTAGCTATAAAGACATTGAAATAAGCTCAGAAATCCTTTAACTTGAATTGAATCATGTTTGAAATCATTTGAAATCATTTTGTTAATCAATCAATCGTTTTGCTACTAGTTGATACTAGTTTTCTCCTTTTTACCGAATCGTTTTACTAGATCTCATAGAAACAAAGATCAGAAGATCAGAAGATTGTTAGCATTAAGATTGTTAGCATTGAGATTGTTAATATTTCTACTGCATTGATGTGAAAAATGAAGTCGATCAAAGTCTAGATGTCAATCAAAGTCAATCAAAGCTTTTCAAGACTTGAAAGAACTTGTTAGCTGTTATAGCTGTTAGCTGTTAGCTGTTAGCTGTTATAGCTGTTAGCTGTTAGCTGTTATAGCTGTTAGCTGTTAGCTGTTAGCTGTTATAGCTGTTAGCTGTTAGCTGTTAGCTGTTAGCTGTTAGCTGTTAGCTGTTAGCTAGTTAGCTATTAATCCCTTTTCAGCTTAGTTTTTATTTTAGCCGTTAATTTATGTATCTATTAAAAGCTAAACCCATTTTTAAACTAAACTCTCAACTAATTAACTTATTTTAAACGAATTTCGAACTAACTCTACTGCTTAAATCTGCTTAATTGCTGAATCTTTCCTTCACAACTCTCAACTTCTTGATCTACTCCATATTCCTAAAGTTTCTTGATCTTCAGAAACTTTGTTATCCATTTTGAAAAGCTTTTGAGACTTTTGAGAATCTAGAGGTGAAAATGGGGGTCCCAATTTGACTTCCGCCTCTTTTTCAGCCTTCACCCGTCTCGACGCTTATCCAAGAAAGGGGAAGGATTACTGTAGGTTGGGGGAAATGGGGAAGAGAGGGGTGCGCCCGGCTTGCCTCAGTCAGCCACAATCTAGAAGAAATAGAGAAAATCGGCTCGAGGAATCTGGTTACGTGTAATACATTGATTCACCGAGAAAGATCGGGGAAAGCGGCAGAGAAATGCTTCTTTCTCTGCTTGAGTTCGGTGATACCTATAGGTTATTGATCTATAGGTTATTGATCTGTTTTTGATAGGAAATTGAGTGCTTTATAGGAAATTGAACACAATTGGGCTTGGGGAATTGTATTAAGAAATGAAGAATGAAGAAAGGAATGAAGAATGAAAGAAATGAAGTAAACTCTACTCACTAAACTGTGCTTTTCTTTCATTGGGATTGATTGGGATTGGGCAATAGATTGGGAATAGATTTGATAGGGTTAAAAGAGAAGATTGAGATTGAAACTCAGAACTTTGTAAAGATCTAGATCGATCTTGATTTTAGAGCTTTTACAGCAAACTCTACTCACTAAACTGTGCTTTTCTTTGATAAAATAAGTATTGTAAAGTGTTGCTTTAGTGAAAAATTCGATAACAACTTGATGTTGTACTTGATTTTCTCAGTTTAACGACTAGCTAGACCAGTTTAACGACTAGTTAGATCAGTTGAACGACTAGTTAGACCAGTTTAACGACTAGTTAGACCAGTTTAACGACTAGTTAGACTAGTTAGACCAGTTTAACGACTAGTTAGACCAGTTTAACGACTAGTTAGACTAGTTAGACCAGTTTAACGACTAGTTAGACCAGTTTAACGACTAGTTAGACCAGTTTAACGACTAGTTAGACTAGTTAGACCAGTTTAACGACTAGTTAGACCAGCTTAACAACTAGTTAGATCAGTTTAACGACTAGTTAGATCAGTTTAACGACTAGTTAGACCATTTTAGATTCATTTTCGACCTATAACTTGTCAATTTTTGTACAAATTCATAATCAAAACGCTATTTTCATCATTTTGATTGGCATATTAACAATCTAAAATCACAAATCACAAACAACAATCCACATTTTCCAAGTTTACCATTCTTTTTCTAGATGCACAACTCTGAAATCTCAAAACGATTGGGCACTGAGTGGAAACAATTGAGTGACAATGACAAACGGCCATTTATTGATGAGGCAAAGAGATTACGAGCGATTCACATGAAGGTTTGTTCTTCGTTTTAATCATTAAAAGTAAACTAAAGTGACTTTAGAAGCTTTAGTGACTACTTTAGATAAAGTAGTGATAAAAGCAGTGAATCTTCTTGGATCAAAATAGATTTCTAGATCAAAACTCTGTTTTCAAGCGAATCTAACACTTTTTCTTTAGAAAATTAAGTGCTCTTGAAGTAAACTGAAAGGAAAATTACGAAAATTTGACATTTCTTGAATAAATTTAGAAATAATTCAGTCTAAATCGTGCCTAGAACCACCACTATCCTTTTTTCTCAAGTAACATTCAGATTTATCCGATCTCTAATCATCTATACAGTATCTCTTGGGGTGTCGAGAACTCACGTATCTCTTTTCTCATCTCTTTTCCTTTTCTTTTGAATCTTCGAGTCAGTCACAGGGTCTCCATGTGTGTTCACCCAAGTGCAAATAACTCTTGACTCTCTCTCTCTCTGAGCTGCCAGTCTTCTCAACTAACAGTAGTGAAGTTAAAACAAAGTTATATCAATACTTTCTCCATGTAAGCATGAAAAAGTGACAATGTTGAATTGAAAAAATGATACACAGCAATGACACAATAATGATACTCTGCCCAAAAACTGCTAAAGTTTAAGCCTAGGCCTAAGCCTGAGTCTGAGCCTGAGCCTAGGCCTAAGCCTGAGTCTGAGCCTGAGTCTGAGCCTGAGCCTGAACCTGAGCCTGAGCCTGAGCCTGGGCCTGAGCCTAAGCCTGAGCCTAAGCCTAAAGCCTAAGAGCTGGCTCAGATTCCGAAAATGGGGGTTCAGCCCAAACACGAATAGACTAAGTGCGAGGCGCTAGCCGCTAGCCTTTGCACTAAGTCCAAGCCTAAAGCCTAAGCCAAAGACTAAGCCTAAAGCCTAGGCCTAAAGCTTAAAGCCTAAACCTGAGCCTAAGTCTGAGCTTAAGCCTGAGTCTAAGCCTGAGTCTGAGCCTGAGCCTAGGCCTAAGCCTGAGTCTGAGCCTGGTCTGGCCTGGCCTGACCTGAGCCTGGCCTGAGCCTGGGCCTGAGCCTAAGCCTGAGCCTAAGCCTAAAGCCTAAGAGCTGGCTCGCCAAAATGGGGTTCAGCCCAAACACGAATAGACTAAGTGCGTGGCGCTAGCCGCCAGCCTTTGCACTAAGTCCAAGCCTAAAGCCTAAGCCAAAGACTAAGCCTAAAGCCTAAGCCTAAAGCTTAAAGCCTAAGCCTAAGCACAAAGCCTAAGCCTAAGCCTAAGCCTAAACCTACTAAAGCCTGCTGAAACCTAGCCTAAAGCCTAAGCCTAAGCTTAAAAAGCTAGAGTTCAATTGAATCTTTGAAAAGAATTTTCTTTTCCAGGAGCATCCCGACTACAAATACCGGCCAAGAAGAAAGACGAAAGCCATCCAAAAGAAACCCGGTCAACTCGGCACCGGATTCCTTGAGACAATGAAAACAAATGTCTATCCACAGGTGAGTCAATGGTTTACAGGATAAAAATGAAGAAACTGTCAACAATTTTCTTTTGCAGATGCAAAGCGCTTGGCCACAAACAACGACTCAAACCCCTTCCTATTCTTCGTACGACTACGCGGCGTTGTACTCTCGACCCGGTTTCGATATGATGACCTCGTTCCCAAATTATCTCAGTGGATCCACTTCTCCATCACAGTACACCCAAGCTTTTGCCGCTCAAGGATTTATGCCCTCGCTAACTGGAGTGCTGAAGACCGAGAATGAGGTGAGTAGAAGGGGAAATGTTTGGAAGAAAATGTGTATCGAGCAATTGAGCCGGTCAATGACGGTGAAATGACATGCAACCTGTACCATTCGACGCAGAATTTCACGCTGATTCCGAATCTGCTTTCCATTTTTGCTGGGCGTTGTTCTGGCAGGAGTTATAAGTGGCTAAAGTCTTGATAGGACTCTGTAAGTATGAGTTTTTGGGTCTTAGGCGCCTTTTGCGCGGTCGTTCCTGCGTGGGTCTGCGCGGTCTTAATCCTAGTCGTTCCGGTCCTAATCTCGATCTCTCGATCTGGTCCTAACTTTCCGCAATTCAGGTGACAACACAAGACGTAACCGCTCCTCCATCCGACTCACCCGATGGAGCTTTCCGAGCGCCGTACTACGATCCAACGAAAGACCCAGCCGCTTTCTACGCAGCGGCCACGAATCCAATGATGAGCTATGGCTTGACAGATATGGGTGCTTTAAGTGGTATGACCCAACAATTACCGCAAACGCTCGCCCCGTTGTCCCATCACCTCGCCTCCACTTAGGTTTCTTTTCTTTTGCAAAACAAATCTGACAGTAACCTGTTTTTCATGAGCTAATGATCTTGAATATCTTTCTTGTAATTCAGGAGTCACTGTCAGGCGTGTTTAATCAAAAATGACCCCAACCTAGCTACACTTTGCTAAGCGGGTACCGGTTTGTAATGTTTTTGTGAAGTTGAGGAGTTGATGATTGGAAATAAAGTGGCTTGGATAAGGTGATAAGATTTAGATTACTGTAGTGATGGCTGTAGATTGCTGTAATTGATAGCGTTAGATTACTGTGACTGATAACTTTAGTTTACTGTGACTAATAGCTATAGATTACTGTAACTAATAGCTTTTGTTTACTGTGATTGATGGCTGTAGATTACTGTAATTGTTAGCTCAATGGGCTTACTGTGGCTCTTTGATAAGTCTAGATGTCTGGCTAAGTCTAGAGGTCTGGCTAAGGCTAGATGTCTAGCTAAGTCTAGATGTCTGGCTAGGTCTAGATCTCTAGCTAAGTCTAGATCTCTAGCTAAGTCTAGATCTCTGGCTAAGTCTAGATATCTAGCTAAGTCTAGATATCTAGCTAAATCTAGATCTCTAGCTAAGTCTAGATATCTAGTTAAGTCTAGATATCTAGCTAAGTCTAGATATCTAGCTAAGTCTATCGTATTGTACTTGTTCAAGATAGGTACAAAGTCAAGCACAGTACACGCAAATGAAGGCTTATAGTGAAATGATAGTCAAGTCAAACGATTTCCTCATCAACTTCTTAACAAAATCCCCCGAAAATCCACATTTCTCGTCACCAATTCTCAGCGCTCTCATTTGTGCCACAAGTAAATGCAAATTTCGTCAACGAATTTAAATCTCTTTCTCTAACTAATCCCCGAAAAAATCCTCCGGTTTGCCATATTTCAATTGTGTTATCCGATAGTTTAAAAGTTTCTAATGTTTCTAATGTTTCTAACGATTCTAAAGCTTCTAATGTTTCTAATGTTTCTAATGTTTCTAACGACGTTTCTAATCTTTCTAAACCTTCTAACGTTTCTAAACCTTCTAGAGTCTCTAAAGCTTCTAACGTTTCGAATGTTTCTAATGTTTCGAACGTTTCGAACGTTTCTAATGTTTCTAAACCTTCTAAACCTTCTAAACCTTCTAAACCTTCTAAACCTTCTAACATTTCTAATGTTTCTAAAGCCTCTAACGTTTCTAATGTTTCTAAACCTTCTATAGTTTCATAATACTCAAAATATCGAATTATTTTTCATTTTCAAAGAGATTTCTATTCAACGAATGCCTTTTTCTCAATCTTTTTTTCCAAAAAATCCGATTTTTCTCTTTTTTTTTTCCTATTTTTTTGGTCTACAGCTTTATCGTTGTACAGTATTATTTTTTTTTTGACTGAAAGTATTACTTTTTTGATTTCTTATCTAGGATTTCTGTTTCTATATCCATCTTTTTCATTTCATTTTCTCATTTTCTATAGCAAAAATGTGCAAAACATAGGTTCTTGACTCGCGTTTTTTCCCCATTTTTTCCTACAAAACTATGCGTGCGTTTTTTTTTTTGTTGTTTTCTTTGCTTCAACTTCAACATCGAATTCTTTAGTGTTTTGTGGGCAATTTTTCATACCATTATTCGTAATTAAATACTTGTTGTGTGGTGGAATAAATTTTTGAAGAATCTGAAGAATTTGTGGAATCATTTCAAACATTTTAATCATCTCAATCATTTCAATCATTTCAAATATTTAAATCATTTAAATCATTACAATCATTTCAATCATTTCAATCATTTCAATCATTACAATCATTTAAATTATTTCAATCAATGCACAAACTCTCATGGCTATTATTGATGGCTATTATTGATGGCTATTATTGATAGCTATTGTTTACTCATGGCTATTATTGATGGCTATTGTTTGCCGGCAAAAAAAAAGGCAATCAACTAAAGGCAATCAACTAAAGGCAATCAACTAAAAGGCAATCAATTAAACTTTTCAACGAGTTTGCGTCAACGAGTTTGCTTCAACGAGCTTTCTGATTTGAATTTAAGCGAAAAAAGATCAGATACCTACCGTATTCTCTCTAATAGTAGTGCGCACTTTTTTTATTTTTTGAACCCCTCCTGGACCACAATACTATTAAAGAGTGCACTACTATTAAAGAGGGCACCTCTATTAGAGAGAATACGGTAGTTGGGTTTCTTTATTTTCTTGATTTCTTTTATGCTAATTTGTTAGTTTTTTTAGATAAATTCATTGAAATTCGACAAAAAAGTGACTCTTTTTTTTGAGGGAAAATTTGAGGACTTTCAACGCTCTGTTTTCCTGGGGAAAAACACTTCAATTCTTGTGATAAGATTAAAGATTCAACTAGATATATTTAAAGATTCAATTCGATATATTTAAAGCATAAAACTTAAGCTTATTTAAAGCTTGCAACCTTAATCGAAGTCATGAATTTGACTCTAATCTTTAGCCAAACTTTGGCTTTGTTTCTGACTCGTCATTCGGTTACTTGTTCGCTTTTAAGCTTAAGAATTCGACAGAAGCTGTTAAAGCTGTTAAGAAGCTGTTATACGCTGGCTAAACAATTGCTTTAGAGGCCTAGTGGCTAGCCTAGAAAACCAAGTACCTTTTTTTCCTCTCAAGTTCGAGTCCCAGCCTTGGATTTGGTCTCGAGAGACTCGTTGACCCTTGTCAGACGCTTAAAAACATCCAATCTTTTGTCTTTATCAATTTATTATTTAAGTTTATCTATTACTTTAGCTCTTTATCTATTACTTTAGCTCTTTATCTATCCCTTTACTCAATCCAGCTTCTCAATATTTCAATTTCAATATCTCAAGCCCAAAAAAACCCGGCGATCAATTTCTATTCAAAACAATTGCCTCTCTCATATTCAGAGATCATATAGAATTCAGTCAATCCACGAGTCAGCATTGATTTTTATGTTATGAATGGCCTATTGTTATCCAAAGGGGGATAGAGAGGGAGTCCGGCTGGTGCCTAGAAGGTTTATCCGAACAGGGGAGTGAAGTGGGGGACCAAGGAATAAATAGGTAATCCACTGGTAATCCCCGCCACTCATATTGCGGATTTCTGGGAATGAAGAGACACTTTCCTTCTCGAGAATCCCTTTCGACAATCTCCTTTTCGACAATCCTTTTCGACAATCCCTTTCGACAATCCTTTTCCTCTTTTCTATATCTTTACCAGCTACAAGCCACTTCATTAGCGCCTTTGCCAAAGCCGACATCGCATTTTGGCAAAGATTTAGAAACCTAAATGGCAGTGCTCAAGATTTCCTCAAGGTTTACTTCAAGATTTACTTCAAGATTTACTTAAAGACAAAATTTACAAGTCTAATGCTTAAGGTTTTTAAAAGTTATCAAAATAAACTCAAGATTTGCTTCCACTTTAGCTCTAGATTACGTTAGTCAAGCTTAGTCAAGCTTCACTTTAGTCAAGCTAATCCCAAGAACTGCTCAAAAGTTAAAAGTGCTCAAAAGTCTAATATCTAGCTCATCTACAGACAATCTCTAGAAGCTAATCTCTAGAATCTAGTCTCTAGAAGCTAATCTCTAGAATCTAATCTCTAGAATCTAGTCTCTAGAATCTAATCTCTAGAATCTAGTCTCTAGAATCCTTCTGTCGTGACGATCTCGTGATCGAGATCCGATCAGAACAGATGGAAATGGTCAGCCATCGGATGGAAATGGCCAGCCATCGAATGGAAATGGCCAGCCATTGGATGGAAATGGCCAGCCATCGAATGGAAATGGCCAGCCATTGGATGGAAATAGCCAGCCACACATCTTTGATGGCGAACGCCTACTGTGCGAGATTTAATATGCGTTCGACTGACGATTCTATTCGTTCAACTTCATTGTGTGCAAGACGAACGCCCGAGACGGAGTTCTGTATAAAAGCAATGTGAACGAGCTGTCGGAGTGTGCCGTGGAGTCGTCTCTACTCTCCCAATCCCAAACCACTGAACCAACTATTATTGCTGTAATCAGGTTTATATCTAAACCACCAAATAATCACTAAATCACTACCCTAAGAAAAATCGACTACAGTACTGATTTGACGTCACTGGTGACTCTGTTTTTGCAATATTGTCGAAAGAGTGCTTTTCCACACCTGTGATACATCTCAAAGAAGTGACTCGACACTGTGTGGAAAAGAGAAGAAACGAGAAAGGTATTGTTTGAGGAACATGTCTTGAGTGAAAGAGAAGGGGTAAAAGGAAGGGGGCAAGGTGACCGTCCACCGGTGTTGGCCTCTCCTTGGGGTAGAGGTGGACTGTGTTGGGTAGGGGTTGGGTAAGGGTTGCACTGTAAGGAGGGCTCGGCTGACCGTCCATCTCTTTCCCTACCTACCAGGCCTTCTTTCCATCTCCATCCTCTCCTTTCTCCATTTCCATTTTGCTTTCCTTTCCTCTTCTTTCCTTTCCTCTTCTTTCCCTTCCTCTTCTTTCCCTTCCTCTTCTTTCCTTTCCTTTCCTTTCCTTTCCTTTCCTCCTTTCCTCCTTTCCCCACAGCACTTCTCCGGTTACCAAAGACAAGCCGAGACTCGCACCCGCTGAGAGTGAATCCTGAAAAGAGGCATCTAACGATTCATAGTCATGGGGGACTTTTGACAAGTTAAAGTTCAACTTTTAATCAACTTAAACTTTACAATTACAACAAGCTACGATTTATTGTTAGAGCTACATTTATTTACACAAATCATATTACACAAAGATACAAGAAAAGAAGAAACTCAGATGGGAAAGAGTCAATAATCTAGAGCCAATCTAGAGCCAATCCAGAGCCAATCTAGAGCCAATCTAGCCGGAGGGATTGAACTCGATTGATCTCCTGGGAGCTTCCGACTAAGATCCAAGACACTTAACCAGTTGGAACGGCCGAATTTGAGCTGTCCAAAGACGCAGCTTAATCGGCAGAAAAGCGGTTGAGAACTTTGATTAGTTGAGAGCTTTTTGATCAGCCAGATTCCAGAT